GCAAAATTTTCTTTTAAAGTTTCCACCATGTTTCATGGGTATATTGCTCTATCGTAAAAATACATTCTAAATGCCCGAAAGCCCAGACAATGGACTAAATGTGCTAAGACAGTGGGGAGGGAGTCCACTACAGATACCACTCTGGGTCCCCAGTTAGCCTGTTTTTCCAGAAGAGGTGACTACTGCCACGGGGGGGGGGGGGAACAAGTGGCAGGTATCTTGGCTTTGGTCCCTTGAAGCACCAACATGTGCAATGTAAAAAGAGCACCCCCCCCCCCCCCTTGCTGGAGGATGGAGGCCTGTTGTACTTCACCACAAAGTGGCAAGTCTCTGACATCCCATAAATTAAGTGACAATCAGACACAAGTGTCTTTAGTCCATTTAGAATATTTTGTTGGAATTCTAGCTGGCTCCTTTCTTCTCCCATTCCTAGGGCAAAAAAAAAAAAAGGAATGTCAATCGGTTTCTGACACATCTGGTGTGCTTGATGAAGGACATATGTATATATTATATATGAAAATCAAAGTAAAAAGGTAGCGCCTATTAAGTCAACTTAATTTTGTGATAGTGATACAACAAATATAAACATAAATTATTGAATAAATTAGAGACCTTTTGTTGAAACACATTTTTTTAAAACTTTTTTTTACACATTTTTTTAAATCACTTTATTGAATAATTTGTATTTTTTATGAATATTTATTTGTTTATATTTGTTGTATCACTACCACAAAATTAAGTTGACTTAAGACCTACCTTTTTACTTTGATTTTCACTATTACCTCTGTTAGAGGGCGAGGTGTAGCAGCCTGGATGTCATAATATAACACAATAATATAGTTTTTTTTTTGGCGCTGTTTTCACTCATATGGTATTTTACTATGTATTATATATGTTTATTTTTAAAAACCGCTCAGTAATGCACAATAACCAATAAGAATTCTGCTTTCATGACTACACTAATCCTAAAGTTGCATTTTTTTACGAAGAGCCCAGTACATTCAAAGCTGTGAAGACCTGAGTTGTATTCCGTGCAGCTGTGGTGTACTAACACAGCCTGTTGTCACTCAAACAATCAAATATGAAACCGCAAACGCTGAATACAAAGGTAAAAGACCACTCAAGGTTTGCTCACCCAGGCATTTCTCAGCTGCTCAGTCTATACCTACCTATCCCAACCAGCATAGGAAGTGCTCGTTCTCTAAAGAAATGTCACCGACTTTTCTGTAAATTGTATGAGAACTGAAAACTGCACCATCTATAAAAGTCTGGCAGCAAAAAGCCAACTAAGCACCCCTGGCAGGGCAAAAAGCATTGGCGTGCAGGAGAGTGAAGTGAGTTGTTTGTCCAGGATTGAAGCTAGAGTGCAATAAATGACTTTATGGATAGGGTGTCTTTTCTGATTAGAGGAGGCAGAGATTATGATGTCCTCCACTTCATCCAGAGAATGCTTTGCCTGAAAGGTGCCCAAATTGAGTGACCAACCTCTGGTGTTCACAGAATCCAGAAGCTAGAAGTGTCTACTATGATTTCCAGCTTCCATGGACAGTCTGCAACTATGGCACATACATAGTTACATTGGTCCAAGCTGGGGCAAAGTAACTATGTAAAGTTTAGGTATGGCAATTTTTAAAGGTTGTAAACCTTAGGCAAGAAATATGAACAAAGCCTGTCTCTCTATAGTGTGTAATACTTTCTCAATCCAGAACACTAAGTGTCATCTCGCTCTGCTACCTCATTCCTCTGCTAAGTTTTCCTGACACCAATATAAAAATGGTGACCGGGGAAGGCCCTCCAGCAGATTGACGGGATCAGCTCTGTTCCTGTGAGCTGGGAGGGGTGACGTGCTGTCGTCCCTTCCCCCCAATCAGCTCTCAGGGTTCTCCTCACTGACCTCTGCATAAGCCGCAGCCCACTCTGGTCTATGGGTGGTCAAGTGTACACTACCCTCCAATCTGCCCAAATGCAGGGGAACGGATTCCCTTCCATTTGTTTTGAGCAGACTGGCATGGAGGTAGGCAGGTGTAAACAGACACAAGTCAGTTTACATGAGCCACTCAATAGAGATAAATGGAGGGTCCCCCTGAAAAATTGGCAGGCAGACCCAATAGAAAAGGGTCAGTGTTGTGTCTGCATCTCCGTGACTTCAGCCTTTTATAGTTACCTTAGCTTTCTGTAGGACGGTGCCTTTGCCAGTGGTCATAATAGACATTGGTCGGGCTTTGAGCGCCATTGCAGAATTGACTGGTGAGGATTCTGGAATGTGGCTTGGGCTATTGCTTTTAACCTGGAAAAATAGTAAAATTGTGAGAAATTGTTACAGATCAAAGCAGAAATCCATTTCAATGGCTAAATCATGCAAAATCCATGTCTTGTTTACCCATCATTTATCTAGAAAATGATGAAGCGTGTACATTCTCACACAGCAGTTTAAACCACCCCTTGGGAGTTATTGAGGGCTGGTGAGCTGAAGAAATTTGCAGGATGTCCAGGCCAGGCCTTTTTGTATCACGCATATCTCGACACAGGAATTGAGGCTGAACTTCAGGCAGACACAAATTCATGCAGCTCTGTATTCATTAATACATCTAAATTTTTTTGGTATATTTAATGCAAGTAGTGAAAGTACCTGAATTGCTATCGGCCCCTGACAGTTTTTTGAACAGCAAAGCTCAGACTGGGAAAGGGAGAAGCAGCAACGAGCAAGCTGATAGGTGGAGAAAAGAGCTCATCTGTATACTGCGTCTCCTTTCACAGGCTGGGGAGGGACTAGACCTATTGCTTCTACATCCTGTTTCTCTCACCATTGGAATGCCTGAGAGATATAAATAGCTATAAGGAATTTAAATGCTTCAACATTTGCCACTATCAGTTAATGGTGGACTAACCTTTTTGTCTGTAATGTGACAGGTACTCTTAACAGTCCAGTTTTTTAAAGAATCTATTCCAGGGAAAGGTCCTGTATCAGGGGGTAGGCAGCCCACCTCATCAACATGGTAGAGATTGAGACATGAGCAGCACTAGTGGTCTGAGATGCTGGTGGGAAAGGTTGAAGACATGGACTTGTATGCCTTCTCTACATTCAGCTTCTCAGCAGAACATTAACATTCCCAGCTAACTGCTCTTTAGTCTTAATGAGACCCTTTTTACCATGGCGGAGCTCTTAAAATAATTTTCTGTTCTCCAAGAAGCCCTAGGACCTTCTGGATGAACTTTAGAGTTCCATGGACCCTGCTTAAGAGCAGTTGGCCTCTATACTTACTCTTAGACTTTGGACTAAATCCTTCTAACACTCATGAGGCTAGGAAGGAATTTTCCATTCCTAAGGCTGTAGGAATAAATGACCAATTAATTAATTTTTTTTTGGGGGGGGGGGGGGGTGTTTGTCAGTCAAGACTACTACCTTTTATACTTACTGATGGACTGCTGTCCAGGTGGGCTGGGTCAACTGCAGTGCCTAGAGTAACAGGCCCTGACTCAGCCTTTCTGAGGTTGTCTTTCACTTCTACAATCTGCAGCTCAAGGTCCACCCGTTGGTTCTCCCGCTGCTTACACTCTTCCTCCTTACTTTTCAGCTTCTCTTCCAGACATGGCAGCAAACTCTTATCTGTCATGGAAACATATTGTACTTGTTAGGTTGACCCAATGTAAGGTCCAAATCACAACCTCACTTAGAGCTTGGTCCATTCTCACAAATGCTCTCGGTAGCTGTTCGGCCACCAAAACTGCACATAAATTCATCCTGTGCGAATGGGGCAAAAATTATTTTACATGAAGTTTTGGTGGAGAATCAACAGCACCAAGACATTGTATTCTGACAGCCACACCCACTACTGTCACAATAAATTGATCGTTGGCTACAGCCAATTGGTTGTCTTTTGTCGACGAGAGATGACTGGCAACTCATGGGGCCCCCGTGCAATAGGGGATCATAGGGCCCCTGTGTCCTTGTCCAAACTCAAAAAAGCCTATGAAAAAGGTACCAGGGGCATCTCATGGGGCCCCCTACTGACCACGGGCCCTCGGGCAGTGCCGAGTTTCCAAATGGTCAGTCCGCCCCTGCTACACACTGATAGATATTGTCCGGTTCTCTGTTGAACTGGCCAAATTTTGATCAGTGTGTGGCAATCCCTGCTCAAAAGAAGATGTTTGTTTGACTGCTGACTGGCTGCAGCTGCTGATCAGTGTATGGTCAGCTGTATGCCACATTTCACACGGGTACTGAGGCATGTGCACCCTAAATTGGCTATTTTTGTTTGCAGCTTGAGCTGCCAGGTGCTGCTTAGTAGCCATTCTAACCGTGTATATTCAGGGGTACTTACCTGCATCCCTGTCACATTAGGATGACCATGTGTGGCAGTAGAGTTGCTGCATCCAATTACATAAGCAGCCTGTAGGCAGCACATAACTGCTGCAGCAGCCTAAACAAATGTTACATGCATTGGCACCCGACTGAATGAGGCCCATCCCTTTACAACAGCCATTACCACTTAATATGGCAAGAAAAAAATGGTTGTATAACTTTGAATTATTTATATTTGGCCCGCTTTGTAGCGCATCTATTGTTATGCATTGCCTATTGGAATGCAATAAAATCCACACTGACATAAGCAAAATGTGGCATAGTGCATTTTATCAGGGCAACACAATGCACAGGACACCACATTTTGAAGAGATGAGTTAGGGTGCCATTCATTCAGTGAATGGCACTGCAGCGCGCCAATGTACTGTATAATGTGCAGTGTGTATTGCCACAGAGCAATGGTGTGAATGGACCATAATATCTAACAACTATGTAGTGCAAGGGCCTACCTGAATGGATAACATGATTTGCATTATTTAAGAGCAGCTCTCTGCTTGAAGCAATGTTATACAATCTTTGCTACATTTTTTTTTTAGTCTGAAGTTAAACTCAGGGCACAAAACCTTTCATTGATATTTATTCCTCAATAGCCACAAATGAATTTGTGCGCACCAAATTCCTTTGCAAACCCAGATATCGCCTTAAAAAAAATAGCAGTGACTTCCTTACTGTGCAGAGAGCAGAGCTGTAGGAGGAGCAAAGCTGCTCTCCCCCACTGCAAGCTGCCTGTAGAAAACTACAGGGGGGGTGGAGACCTGCACAAGAAGAGAGCAGAGCTGTGGGAGGGGCCCAGCAGACCACACCCTCCACAGGCTGCCTGTAGCAAACTACAGGAGGGGGTGGAGACAAGACCAGTCACCCTGCACAAGGAGAGAGCAGAGCTGTGGGAGGGGCCCAGCAGACCACACCCTCCACAGGCTGCCTGTAGAAAACAACAGGAGGGGGTGGAGACAAGACCAGTCACCTTGCACAAGAAGAGAGCAGAGCTGTGGGAGGGGCCCAGCAGTCCACACCCTCCACAGGCTGCCTGTAGCAAACTACAGGAGGGGGTGGAGACAAAACCAGTCATCCTGCACAAGAAGAGAGCAGAGCTGTGGGAGGGGCCCAGCAGTCCACACCCTCCACAGGCTGCCTGTAGCAAACTACAGGAGGGGGTGGAGACAAGACCAGTCACCCTGCACAAGGAGAGAGCAGAGCTGTGGGAGGGGCCCAGCAGACCACACCCTCCACAGGCTGCCTGTAGAAAACAACAGGAGGGGGTGGAGACAAGACCAGTCACCTTGCACAAGAAGAGAGCAGAGCTGTGGGAGGGGCCCAGCAGTCCACACCCTCCACAGGCTGCCTGTAGCAAACTACAGGAGGGGGTGGAGACAAGACCAGTCACCCTGCACAAGGAAAGAGCAGAGCTGTGGGAGGGGCCCAGCAGACCACACCCTCCACAGGCTGCCTGTAGAAAACTACAGGAGGGGGTGGAGACAAGACCAGTCACCCTGCACAAGAAGAGAGAGCAGCAGTGACCGGTCTTTAAAAGAGGAAGAAAAGTTTCACAGATCTGGATCACATGAGTTGTATTGAGACAATATCTGATTATCCCAGAATTGATAAATGCGACTATAGATACGTTACCACTACAGGTAGCAATGTTCTCCTTGAGTTCTCGTCTCTCTTTTCGAAGCTGGGCCAGCTGCACCCGAATCTCCTCCCTTTCTTTCTCCAGCTTCTCCTTTACCTCTGTAAAGCGCCTGGCTTCGGCCTCGGTGCGGTTCTTGCCCAATTTGTTCTCAATGGCAGCTGGATTGCAGAAAACAGCATATAAAGAATCTGACCACTATTTCAGAACTAAAAAGTCTTCAATACATTTTTTTTTGTTTTTTATTTTTCAGTCAAGGTTGAGCACAATGAACAAGTTTTTAAAAAAGTATAGCAGATCTTTGGAGAAGTAAAGAGAGACCATCAGCTGAAGGATCTGACACATTTGGTTTTCCCTCTACTGCACTCTGGTTTCTTCCAACTGCATGTCAGACTGAACTACTGAGTGTGGCGGGGGACCTGGAAATTGACACTGTGTCTCAGGTCCTGTGGGATCTTCTGCTGGAGGTCTCTCACATACACATGCTCAGTTTGGTGTGTATTGCTAGAGAGGTTGTTTTTTTTTTTTTTTCTCTTGGGAGAGCGCATGTGATCAGCACAGGGCTAATCAGCACTGTCCAGAGAGGTCAGGGGTTCTACACCCTCCTAGAGCAGAAAGAAAACTCCTCCTACAAGCTTTAAGCAGTGCTGTGCTGAAGTCACAAGACTGCTCTAACTGCTGATGAGAAAAGGTATTTAGCAGTTTATATTTACTAAAATAAATGAATTTCCATGTTCTATGTACTGTGGGAGACCGGATATAGTGAATGCGGGGTCCGGGGAGACCGGATATAGTGAATGCGGGGGCTGGGGAGACCGGGTATAGTGAATGCGGGGGCTGGGGAGACCGGATTTAGGGAATGCGGGGTCTGGGGAGACCGATATAGGGAATGCAGGGTCTGGGGAGACCAGATATAGGGAATACAGGGTCAGGGGAGACCAGATATAGGGAATGCAGGGTATGGGGTTTTTTGTAACACTTTAACTCTATCCCAAAGGCTGTTTTTTTTATTTTGAACATGTGACCAGCAGCAGAGGACTAGAAGATCCTAGATGGCTAAATGGTTAGCACTTCCGCCTGGCAGTACGCGGGTTGTTGGTTTGAGTCCCAGCCACGGCACCACCTGCCTGGAGTTTGCATGTTCTCCCTGTGCCTGCGTGGGTTTCCTCTGGGTACTCCGGTTTCCTCCCACACTCCAAAGACATGCTGGTAGGTTAATTGGCTCCTGTCTAAATTGTCCCTAGTATGTGTATGTATGAATGTGAGTTAGAGACCTTAGATTGTACACCCCTTGAGGGTTAGGGACTAATGTGAATGTATAACATATATGTAAAAAGCACTGCGTAAATTGATGGCGCCATACAAGTACCTGAAAAAAAATAAATCCTCCTGCCACAATTTCCTTGCAGACAGGCTGGGAAAGAGCTGGGTCATGTGACAGTTGTATATTGATTAGGAAACAAGGTATTTAGATTTTTTTTTTAAAAATTTTTTATTAAAATGACATCACCCTTATCCACATACAAATGAGAATGGATCATGTAAATGAAACAGTGTGTGTTTAGTATCACTTTAATATTTACTTTGGTGTCCTAGCCCCTGTAAAGGTTTAATTGAAAATATTTAAAGCCCAATTGTAGCCAAAACTGTTTTCTCGGCAAAGTAGGTGAAGAGAGCAATAATGTATACCTGCAGTCTGTGCAAGTCTGGGGAGACTTCCTCTTACTTCCTATCAAGACAGCAAGTGATGTCATTCTTTCCAATTTTGTATAAAACATAGCAAGGATTTATGGTTTACAATATACTCATTTAATTTTGTTGTACTGGAATAGTGGATCATGCGTTTCAGCTCCAGTATAACTGCCAGATATGACCTCCTTCCCAGTGATAAGAACGCGGCTCACCTGGATTGGTCGGTTTTCCTTTCTCCGCCTTGTATTTCCCAAGCAGTGGACTGGCCGTCACCGCACTCTCTGCTTTCACCTGCGGGCTGGGAGTCGTCTCTTCTGCGCTGGGTTCTTTTTCCTGCAGCACAATAAATTCAGCTTAAATACACGGCAAACACTGATCAAACGGACATATTGATTTATTACAAATTGATACAAGTCTTATTGGCAAATAAAATCAATTATCAGAACAAAAAGCACAATCAATATTTTGGGAGAGACTTGTAACCATGATCAGAAAATAGAATTTGCTCATAATACATTCCTTCTTCTGCTTTGCCGCTCAACATTTCTTTTCAGTTTGTAAACTCCTTAAAATGGAAGTTTAGCTAAAATTTAAAAAAAAAAAATCCCTGCAGCTTTAGTCACATCTTCACTGCAGGGATGCCCCGTCCTCTTCCTGTCTTTGAACTTCTGGTGTTGCAATGGTTAACAGCTTTGATCTTCCAACAGAACAGCAGTACAGATGATCTGACCGTGGTATGCCTCCTACTTTCTACTCCTCCGAGAAAAGTTCTTTCATTGATTACATGCTTCTAACACAATCTGTGAATGGAGAGAATCCTGTGACCGATTAGACATTTACAGATCATGTTAGGGGCCATGTAATCAATGAAATAACTTTTCCCAGTGAAGGAGGAGCAGAAAGGGGCTTGTCCCTGTCTGACCAGCTTTATTGCTGTTTTGCTTAAGAACCAAAGCTGTTAACCATTGCAGTGCTGGAAGTTCAGATCAAGGAAGAGGATAGGACATCCCCCGACAGATTTCTCCAGGATTCAGCTGCCTGCACAAAGAGACACACTTCATTACAGGTAAGTGAAACTAAAGTTTTTTTTTCTTAAAAATAACAAAGATGTCTATACTTACCTGCTCTGTGCAATGGTTTTGCACAGAGCAGCCCAATCCTCATTCTTCTTGGGTCCCCCGTGGTGCCCCAGCAGCAAACAGCTTTGCTATGGAGGCACCCGAGCAGGTGCGCTCCTGAGCCACGGCTCTACTTGTCCATTCACACACAGCACCTTGGTCCCACCCATTCCTACTGATTGGCTCCCACTGCTGTCAGTCAGTGAGCCAATCAGGAGTGAGAGTCCCTGGAGAACCAAGGTTCTCGTGGACATCGCTGGATCCAGAGGGTGCTCAGGCAAGTGTTGAAGGGGCAGCTACACACAGAAGGTTTTTTTTACCTTCATGCATAGAACGCATGAAGGTAAAAAAAAAAAAACATGATACTTTAAAACCACTTTAAGGGCCCTGTTACGGTTCACCCACACGCAACCATCCACAGTGACTAACTAACCGAGACTTAGGGTAAGAGGGAATAAGGGGCACTTAACTTCTAATATATAAAACGTCTATAAGACCGGAAGTGAAACACTTTCACAGCCCGCACTACCTCTTGGCCACCACTGGAGGGAGACTCCAATCCAGCCGGCTGACCACACAATGGCAGATTCAAATCTTACATACAATCTGATGCACTAACTAGGGTTGAGGAGCAGCCTAGCAATCACACACCCTTCTAGGATTCCTCCAGCTATCCTACAAGCCAGAACCCCGGTGTTAATCACTCTTCCACTGTCCACACATCCCCATACCAGACACACCACAAACGGTAGCTTACCACCACCCAACAGTTTATCCGCAGAACAGTCTGTTGTGTCACCACACACACACACATCTTCGTCTAGCAGATCTGCTACCTTTACAATCTGCACGCAATCTGCCAACGCACAGTGCAATTGCATACAGATAGGCAATGAACTTGACCGAGCATTTAAAGACACTAAAATTCAATACAATCTAATCTCCCCAAAGATATGAGCTCAAATACCCAGAAGTCACTTACTCATTTTATGATTTAATATCCTGAAAGTGGGCAGTGCATAAAATATGTACAAAGTATAAAAAGTTACAGAAAATACAAAAAATACAAGAAGACAAACAATTGACTATTCATTATAAAATAAAAGGGAATAAAAAACAAAAAACTTTTACCAAGATTTATCCTGCGACTGGAGCAAGTCAGAAAAAGTCCGTAATCTGTTAGTCGATCGAACTAGCTCCATACCTCAGGGTCCTCAATTTATGGGAATATGGACATGGGCTGGACATGAGTTCTTGGCCAATTGACTCTGGGGGGGTGTTCCTGTACCTGCCCACAGAATGTTCTGGGTCCTCAAATGCCCCAGGAACGGTTTGAATCACCAAGTCAGGGATTGAATTTCCGACACCAGCGCATCAGTCCGATCGCGACAGTACCAATCACTGTTCAGCTGTCGCGATCCGGCGCCACATAACCATTTCCTGAATTTTCCTGGCATTCTACATAGGTCACAAATACGATTTTTACATGCAGATGTAGCCTACAGAGTGCCCAATCAGAAGGAAGTATTTTCATCTCTCTGCAACTAATATTTTAGCTTTTATGAGAGATTAAACATATTCCTTTGATCTACTTCAAAGCTCTGGTCTCCCGCTGTGTCATGAAGACAACCTGTCTCCAGTAGTTTCCTTCCAGGTTTCCTTGAAGGTGCCAAATCTTATTGGCACCCAGGTGTCACTTCCAGCCTGAGGAAGCTCTGTCTCTTTTCAGATGCTAATGGGTGACCATATGCCTTGCCTCTGCCTTAATTCTGAACACATCTTATATTATTAGAACATGGAATGCTAAATCTACATTGTCATATTTTCTACAGGTCACATCTTTATCTACTCAAATCTGTACATTTATGTCACAGGCCCTTTTACATTTTTGCAGTGTGTTAACAACAATTTGTTTTTACACAGGGTAGGCAAAATAAGTAGGAGGAGGGAACATATTTACAGCTGAATTCCAGCAATTCAGCAATTTTTTAAAAACTGCATGCACACAATGAGTTAACTCCAACCAGGCACTGGCACCTGTGGGATTATCTCTAATATTTATATCTGACAGGCTGAGAGAGAGATGAGAGAAGCACACATCAGCTATACCTGCCCCTCCCCTCTGCTGCCCATTCACAGAAGCCTGTTTTGTGAATGAGTTTGCACAAAACAAAGGTTTCTGTGATTGGGCAGGAGGAGAGGAGGGCATAGTAGCTGCACTGACTCTACACTTGAAGCTGAGACCAAAGCCATGCGGAATCTATCTTGCTGTAGCCTAATAAAGCTGTCAGATACAGGGGGGTGTATCTACAGGAGTCGCAGTTGCGACCTGGCTCCAAGGGCCCCATGCAGCCCCCCTGTGCATCTGGATAGGAGGGCGGCAGCATAGAAGGTACCGATCTGTCCATTTCTCTCTTGCAGCTGCTGAATGCCTGCTTCTCCTATCCCTCCTGCAGGCATTCAGCAGACTGCAGCAGAGAAATGGACAGATCGGTACCTCTATATGCTGTCACCCCTCCTATGAAGTTTCCTTCTGCTGTTCCCAGACTCATGTGCTCCCTCCTGCCCAGGACTGCCTTAACACACGGGCACCTCTCTGGGCACTGCCCAGGAGCCCTAGGTGCATGAAGAGGCCCTGAAGTTTCCCCCCATGGCTCTTACTGTCACACCAGGCTGGTTGAGTGGTGGAGAGACCAAATGAAGCAGCATGTATGTGTTGTCTCTCCCCCCCCCCCCCCACAGTAGCATGAGATGAGAGCAGAGTACCTGAAACTGCTATGTGAGTCCTGATGGTCATGGTAAGCTTGACTCTACGCCTTTTTCAGGTCACAGAACTCTGCACTGCTAACACGTTTCCTGGTAGAATGCCCCCCTGGGATAGGATCAGCAGAGGGAAACAGTGCCTGAGCAGAGGAGATTTGTACAGTTGTGTTCAAAATAATAGCAGTGTGTTGAAAAAAGTGAATAAAGCTCAAAATCCTCCTAATAGCTTTTATTTCCATAAACACAAATGCATTGGGAACACGACACATTCTATTCCAAATCAAAACATGAAGAAAAATATATCAAATTTGTGTTGTTCCTCTAAAAAAAAATTGAAGAAAAGTGAATATTAGACGGTTCAAAAAAATAGTGTTTGTATTCTTCTTTACAAACTCAAACATTCACTATATAAACTGAAAAATGTTTGAAGATTTTGCTTTCCTTTGAATCACTTCATGAATATTTGGTTGTAGTCGCACTGTTTCTGAGAACTGCTGTACATCTGTGTTGCATGGAGTCACCCAACTTCTGGCCCCTGTGATCAGGTATTCCAGCCCAGGATGATTGGACTACATTCCACAGTTCTTCTCTATTTCTTGGTTTTGCCTCAAAAACTGCATTTTTGATGTCACCCCACAAGTTTTTTATTGGATTAAGATCCGGGGATTGGGCTGGCCACTCCATAACGTCAATCTTGTTGGTCTGGAACCAAGATGTTGCTTGTTTACTGGTGTGTTTGGGGTCGTTGTCTTGTTGGAACACCCATTTCAAGGGCATTTCCTCTTCAGCATAAGGCAGCATGACCTCTTCAAGTATTCTGATGTATTCAAACTGATCCATGATCCCTGGTATGCGATAAATAGGCCCAACACCATAGTATGAGAAACATCCCCATATCATGATGCTTGCACCACCATGCTTCACTGTCTTCACAGTGTACTGTGGCTGGAATTCAGTGTTTGGGGGTCGTCTGACAAACTGTCTCTGGCCACTAGACCCAAAAAGAACAATCTTACTTTCATCAGTCCACAAAAATGTTGCGCCATTTCTCTTTAGGCCAGTCAATGTGCACTTTGGCAAATTGTAACCTCTTCAGCACATGTCTTTTTTTCAACAGTGGGACTTTGCGGGGGCTTCTTGCAGATAGCTTGGCTTCACATAGGCATCTTCTAATTGTAACAGTCCTCACAGGGAACGTCACACCTTCTTTCATCTTCCTGGAGCTGATTGTTGGCTGAGTCCTTGCCATTTTGGCTATTCTTCTATCCATTCGAATGGTAGTTTTTTGCTTTCTTCTACATCTTGCAGGTTTTGGTTGCCATTTTAAAGCATTTGCGATCATTTTAGCTGAGCAGCCGATCATTTCCTGCACTTCTTTATATGTTTTCCCCTCTGCAATCAACTTTTTAATCAAGGTACGTTGTTCTTCTGAACAATGTCTGGAACGACCCATTTTCCTCAGAATTTCAGAGAGAAATGCACTGTAACCAGCATGTACAACATTTGCTGCCTTCCTTCCTTAAATAAGGGCAATAATTGCCACCTGTTTTTCAAAGAATAATGACCTCACTAATAGAACTCCACACTGCTATTATTTTGAACATGCCCCTTTCAATTAGTGATTCAATTACACAGAATCAGCAGCATGTCATGACTGTTGGGTCTGTTGGATTTCTATTATTCTACTACACCTGCTAGTAAATTATTTAATAATATTTCTACCAAAAACAGTGATTGATCAGGTTAGTGATGTCTGACTGCTATTATTTTGAACACAACTGTATGTGGGCATAGCAGTTCTTTTTTTTTTTTCCTCTGAACAGTACTGTATTATACCATTGCTACACCCTATACAGTGCCCTCCTGCCAGCCCCGTACTGTGCCCTCTTGCCCTGGGCTTAGTGGGGAAGGGCTGGGGGTCAAGGGAGCCCTTTATGGTTTCTTGCATTGGGGCCCTGAAGGATCTAGTTACACCTCTGGTCAGATATAAATAATAGAGATAATCCCGTGATGTGGCAGGTACCTGGTTGGAGTTAACTCATCATGTGCCTGCGCTTTTTGCAAAGTTGCTGAATTCCTGGAATTCAGTTTTAAGAATAGTTAGTTTTAGGCTTCAATTGCACTTTTAAATTCTAGATTTACTCATCCCTATCACAACCCAAGGTGATTGTGGAAGTTTTTCGGTGTGTAGCAGCCACCAGCCCCAATATTCAGATTCTCCCCATTGCCTTACTATTGGATAGCAAAAAAAACATCAAGGTTCCAGTGCTATTCATCTACTTTTTTCAAGCTATAAAAAAAAGTTAACAGAAGTTCTAACCATTCCACATTCAATCCAAAGCTAAAAAATTGGCTTTGGATACACTCCAATGTAACTAAGTTGTGGTTATAAATACTGGGTTCCCAACACTCATCTGAACTGAGGCAGCAGCCACTTGGATGGGTGATGAGATGCCTTTAACATAAAAGAATAACTCCACTTTGAATGTGACTAACATCTACTGGGTATATCAGGACCTGAAAAATGAGACCCTTCAGAGACATCCAATGTTTCTCACCTCTTGGACAGGACAGGGCGGTTCTGGATCACTGCACAAGGCAGGCTCCGCTTCCACTTCTTTTGTTTTGGCAATTTCTGGTCCCGGAGAGCTTTCCAGGCTTCTATCCTGACCTTTCTTCCCAGTTCCGTGTAGGAAGGACTTTGCCGGTAGAAGATCCAGGTAAGTGTGGTCTTCCACTTCCTTTGGTGCATTGTTTTTTGGCTCTTCCTCCTGCAGGCACAGATGGCAAAAGAAAAATAAAAAGTACATAAATTACTTGCTACCTTGTTATATACACCTTATATATTATATTTATCTTTTGCTAACTATTTCCTACTCTACGACCTTGTATTTTCTACTCTATGACCTTGTATTTCCTACTCTACAACCTTGTGTTACTACATATTAACACCAGCGGCTCACTTATGTGCATATCAACTGCAAGCACCGTCTGGGGCTTATTTATGAAGAGCTCATTCAGATGGGTGTCGAGTCCTGTCCTCTGTGCACAGCCACTGTTTGCTGCGTCTATATCCACCTTGGAGCTGCATGCAGGTAGTCCACAGAAGTGGATGCAGATGCAGTGGCTGCACAGACAAAGCTACGTGTCAAAATGATGGCATGTGACTGGAGCGGGTGCACCAATTCAAACATACTGGGGTTGATTTGCTAAAGGTAAACAGACTGTGCACTTTGCAAGTACAGTTTCACTCTTCAAGGACATTTGCTCCATAAAATGGGGTGAAGCTTTACTTTGCAAATACCACTCAAATGCAAGGGAAAAAAAAACAATGCGTTTTTGCTTGCACATGATTTGATGATGGAAGTCAGCAGAGCTTACCCTCATTTACTAAGCCCAGGTGCAAATGCCCTCGCAGAATGCAACTGCACTGGCAAAGCACACAGTCTATTTATCTTTAGTAAATCAACCCCACAGTGTCTGTGGCTCTAGAAAGCCATGTGCAGCATTTCTGTATAGATCTGTGTCAGCCCTCGTCCTTTTACAGCTTCACTCACCACTGCCTCTGATACGTCGACATCATCGTAGAGATCATCTTGCTGGCTCCTTCCACCCCGCGGGTTGTCAATGTATGTGTTTGGCTCTGAATATTTCCTTTGCATTAAACTGAAAAGGCAAATTAGGTTATGTACTATAAATAAAAGACTTGCATTTGTAAGAACAGTTCAACTAGATCAGTGGTCTCCAAACTGCATCCCTTTGAATGCCTTCATCTGTCCCTTGGGGCACTAGTCCTCCCACTGACACCACCGCTGGGGTACTATTCATGCCACTGACACCAACGTTGGGGCAGTATTCCTCCCACTGACACCAACGTTGGGGCACTATTCATCCCACCGACATCAACGTTGGGGCAATATTCCTCCCACTGACATCAACGTTGGGGCACTATTCCTCCCACACCAACGTTGGGGCACTATTCATCCCACCGACATCAACGTTGGGGCAATATTCCTCCCACTGACATCACTGGGGCAACTCCTCCCACTGACACCACTGACACTATTCATCCCACTGACACCAATGATAGGGCACTAGTCCTCCCACTGACACCACCTCTGGGGCACTAGTCCTCCCACTGACACCACTGCTGGGGCACTAGTCCTCCCACTAACACCAATGTTGGGGCACTAGTCCTCCCACTGACACACCCACGCTGGGGCACTAGTCCTCCCACTGAAACCACCGCTGGGGCACTAGTCCTCCCACTGACCCCACCGCTGGGGCACTAGTCCTCCCACCGCTGGGGCACTAGTCCTCCCACTACACCAATGTTGGGGCACTAGTCCTCCCACTGACACCACCACTGGGGCACTAGTCCTCCCACTGACCCACCGCTGGGGCACTAGTCCTACCACTGACCCCACCGGGGGCACTAGTCCTCCCACTGACACCAATGTTGGGGCACTAGTCCTCCCACTGACACCACCGCTGGGGCACTAGTCCTCCCACTGACACCACCGCTGGGGCACTAGTCCTCCCACTGACCACCAATGTTGGGGCACTAGTCCTACCACTGACCCCACCGCTGGGGCACTAGTCCTCCCACTAACACCAATGTTGGGGCACTAGTCCTCCCACTGACACCACCACTGGGGCACTAGTCCTCCCACTGACACCACTGCTGGGGCACTAGTCCTCCCACTGACACCAATGTTGGGGCACTAGTCCTCCCACTGACACCAACATTGCGGCATTATGCTTCCCACTAGAAATCCCAGAGGAACCCGGCTAACATGTGGCTACACCCAGTGGCATATTTACTGCAAGACAAACAAGGCGTTGCATTGAAACATCTGTTTGTGCGCCATCTCGCAACTTAAAGGATCTGCTACTGACGGCTTGGTGCCAGATACCACAACATTCCTTCACAAGTCTACTGGAGTCCATGTCTCAATGGGTCAGGCCTGTTTAGATGATCAAAAGGAGACCTACTCAATGTTAGGAGGTCAAAGTTATGGACTGATCAGTGTATATGTCCCGGTTTGGAGGGGCACTTTTCAGAGGGGCACCAATGCGACATTGTGGCTCCACAAGTATTTACAAATATGCAATACATTTTGTGCTGACCGAGTGCTGGAGAAGTTATACATTCCCTTTAAATGAACCTGGATGAGTCTAAAGATGTTGTCAAGATTGACAGATCCCCGTTTATATAATAAAATTGTATTTGTCCACTTACAAGTAGGAGTTCTTTGCTGCGCTCACTATACAGGAGACGCGCTCAGCATCCACATAATCGTAGTCAAACTCCTCCGGGTCAGTTTTCGATCCAGATTCGGACAGGAGAAGACCCAGCCAGTGTCCCATGTCCTCCGAGGACTTCGCCTGTGAAATGAACACGCAGTGTCAATAGTTGTGGGCTAAAAGCAGGAGTCTGTCTTCATTAGGTGATACAATGTAACCGGTGATGTCATAGAACATTCTCTGGGTTTTGCTAAATAGACATGAAGAGAGAGAAAGAAAGTTTGATAACTTTTCTAGTGGCCCTTTGGCTGCTTTCACGCTGCAGCACTTTTTAAAAGTACTATGTGTTTTTTAAAAAATGCATAGTGCATTTTAAATGCATTGCGGGCAGAGTTTAAGTAATGAAGAGCTGGATGTTAAGAATGCCATCAGGGGACGGTTCCTTAACAACCAACTATTTATAGATTGTTAAGGAGCCGGAACTCGGGGGCCAGTGATAATGCATCCCCCCGTGGTTACCATGTTCCAGCTACTCTTGTGCAGGAGCAATGCTTCCATCGGAGGGTAGTGAGACAGCTGGTGGTACAGCAGGGCGCATCAGCTCCAAGAATCTGCAGAGAGGAGATGGGGGGAAGGCCATATCTGAGGAGAAGAGGCAGAAGAAGGCCAGACCGAACTACAGGTGACCACCAAAGGGGAGGGATGCTGTACCGGGGACATTGTGTACATCACCATGGATTTTTAAAAGGAAGCCGGCATGTACCAGCTTTTTAACAATCAGCTATTCACTGGTTGTTAAGGACACTGGCGGGTGCCCGCTCCTTAACAACCAGCATATTTTTGCCATGGGATCCCAAGAACACACCTAAAAGTGAACACTGGGTGTGTTTTTGGTGCGGTTTCCATTGACTTTAATAGAAGGTACATCATTGCAGCATGCAGGACTTTTCAAAACACAGCAGAATGATGAAGTCTTATAGGCTTTAAAGGCAAATCATTTTTGATGCGCTTTTGTCCTGATGGAAAGGTGCGTTCCAGTGTGACAAAAGGGCATTAGTGGGAAAGGGGTCTTACTCAAATCAAAATTTATTTAAGATATGGCTCCCGTAAATTGATGGCAAGTACCTGAAATAATGATACAATGTAGCAGTGTGATGATCAGGCTTCATAGGATGTTACACAATGTAGCAGTGCATACCATTCCGTCCTATGAAGCCTGATCATCACAATGCTTCATTAAATCATTCCATCCTATGGGAGCGTGATCGTCAAACCGCTACATAATATCATTCCATCCTATGGGAGCGTGGTCGTTACACCGCTACATATATCATTCCATCCAATGGGATCATTCCATTCCAATGGGAGCGTGGTCATCACACCACTACATAATATCATTCCATCCAATGGGAGCGTGGTCATACACACCACCTACATACATATATAATTCCATCCAATGGGAGCGTGGTCATCACACCGCTACATAATATCATTCCATCCTATGGGAGTGTATATCATATCATTCCATCCTATGAAGCCTGATCATCACACCGCTACATTTTATCATTCCATCCAATGGGAGCATGGTCATCACACCACTACATAATATCATTCCATCCACTGCTACATACCACTACATAATCATTCCATCCTATTCATGATCCATGCGTGATCATCACACCGCTACAGCGTGGGAGCGTGTGATCATCACACACACACAACATAATATCATTCCATCCTATGGGAGCGTGGTCATCACACCGCTACATAATATCATTCCATCCTATGGGAGCGTGGTCATCACACCACTCATAATATCACCATCCATGGGGAGCGTGGTCATCACACCGCTACATAATATGGGAGCGTGGTCATCACATTCCATCCTATGAAGCCTGATCATCACACCGCTACATTTTATCATTCCATCCAATGGGAGCCTGGTCATCACACCGCTACATAATATCATTCCATCCAATGGGAGCGTGGTCATCACACCACTACATAATATCATTCCATCCTATGGGAGCGTGGTCATCACACCCGCTACATAATATCATTCCATCCTAATGGGAGCGTGGTCATCACACCACTACATAATATCATCATCCTATGGGAGCCACATCACACCACTACATAATAATATCATTCCATCCAATGGGAGCATGGTCATCACACCACTACATAATATCATTCCATCCTATAGGAGTGTGTCATCACACCACTACATAATATCATTCCATCCTATAGGAGCATGGTCATCACACCACTACATAATATCATTCCATCCTATAGGAGTGTGGTCATCACACCACTACATAATATCATTCCATCCTATAGGAGTATCACACCGCTACATTATATCATTCCATCCTATGGAACCCAATCATTACATGGCTACATTGTGTCATTGCATTCTGTGTAGCCTTATCAATATAGCCCCATGTGACAAGCCCCCTGTAGGATGGAGTGATACAATGTATCAGTGTGATAAGTTCCCTAAGCAAAATGTATTCAAAATTTACCCCCATAGCATTTCTAAACCCTGAACCTCATCTCCATAGCTAAGACTTTACCTAACACGGTACAATTCTCCACTATTCTTATGACAATCACAATAATCTCTGCTGAATTGCTGAGAAGTTGAAACCTTGGAGTTTTTCCCTGTAGCTTCATTCTGTAGACCCAATATTCATCCCCAGAGATAGTGAATTCATATTTAAGTCCAGCAATAATCAAAGAAAGGTTTTTGGCAGGGGCATCACAAGCTGCTTTCTCTTTAGCCTTGAGCAAAGAGGGAACGCATCTGGCGAACCTTCAAGTGCGGTCCAAGTAGTGATAGTGAATCCTCAAACCCTGGCAGTGATCTTGTGTTCTTCAGCTGGATCAGTGAGGTCAACTCTCAGATGTTTGAAACACGTTTTACTCTTTATTTTGACCATTTGTTCTTGCAATATTGGAACAGTCATAGCAAGCTCTGATTGCCACTTGTGCCTCCAATTCTTTATTTAGATGTCTTGGGTTCCTTTATTCTATTAGATTAGCTTCTTAGAAACCCCCAACAAAGCTCTGCTTTTGGACCAGCCCAAAAGTGACTCCGTGTTTGGAGATTACATTTCTTTTCCTCCAGACATAAAGAGTGCCCCCTTGTCCTCTGTGATGACCTCAGGGTGAATAGCTCTACACCGAGTTCGCTATATGAACCACTAATGTATTTATACATGGAGATCGTATCCCCCCTTATGTATTATACATGGAGATCGTATCCCCCCCTTATGTATTATACATGGAGATCGTATCCCCCCTTATGTATTATACATGGAGATCGTATCCCCCCTTATGTATTATACATGGTGATCGTATCCCCCCTTATGTATTATACATGGTGATCGTATCCCCCCTTATGTATTATACATGGTGATCGTATCCCCCCTTATGTATTATACATGGAGATCGTATCCCCCTTATGTATTATACATGGAGATCGTATCCCCCCTTACGTATTATACATGGAGATCGTATCCCCCCCCCCTTACGTATTATACATGGAGATCGTATCCCCCCCTTACGTATTATACATGGAGATCGTATCCCCCTTACGTATTATACATGGAGATCGTATCCCCCCTTACGTATTATACATGGAGATCGTATCCCCCCTTACGTATTATACATGGTGATCGTATCCCCCCTTACGTATTATATCATTGTGATCGTATCCCCCCTTACGTATTATACATGGAGATCGTATCCCCCCTTACGTATTATACATGGAGATCGTATCCCCCTTATGTATTATACATGGAGATCGTATCTCCCCCCTTATGTATTATACATGGAGATCATATCCCCCCCTTATGTATTATACATGGAGATCATATCCCCCCTTATGTATTATACATGGTGATCATATCCCCCTTTATGTATTATACATGGAGATCATATCCCTCCTTATGTATTATACATGGAGATCATATCCCCCCTTAATCTCCTCTTCTCAAGAGAGAATAAATTCAGTTCCTCTCATCTTTCCTCATAGCTGATCTCCTCCATGCCTCTTATCAGTTTGGTTTCCCTTCTCTGTACTTTCTCCAGTTCCCCAGTGTTCTTTTTGTGAATTGGTGCCCAAAACTGAACTTCATATTCCAGATGAGGTCTTACTAATGATTTGTATGCTGTACCCCTGCAGAAAAATCTAGGTAGAAGGAGATCTTAGTCCCATTATATTGAATATCAGCTCTCGCAGAGAATGATCTCCCAGTCCTTCTAGTTGAGCAGACAAGCAAGCATAGGTCTGGGTAGAAGTTCAGGCGATAATGGGCACATTAGGGTCCTGTGGGCCCCTTCAACAGCGAACAGCGATGTTAAAACCTCACTACCAAAAAGCTCAAGGAGCCATGTGTTGTAAATGTGTGAGGACTAACACCATGTCTCAACAAAACTTGAGGGGTCCCTTCTCCCAGAGTCCCATGATACAGTTGTTGCTGCGTGGCAGTCTATTCTTCAGGTCATCTGCCTATTCGTTAGCACTTTTTGCCATTTGTGTGTTAGACCGGGTGTCTCTAAGCAGAGGGGACAGCTCGCCCTCAGTTCTGCTAATGAAACTTTTCATGGCAGTGGTATGTTCCTGGATCTTTTGGAGGTCCTGTTGCACTAAGGAGACCTCCTTACGCAGCCCCCGAATTGTGCCCCGAGGATGTCCACAGAAGCTGTGCACTTGTGCTTGGCACGTAGGATATCTCCCTGTGTGGGTTGATTGGCTCCCTCTGGAACTGTATCAGGTACCAAAGGAGGCAAAAAGTCAGAGACCATGATGGCTTCCTCCTCATTGTGTAATGCCACTGCCTATCATCCCCCTGCACTGTGTCATATGTGCTCTCTGGCTCTGCGGTGTCCCTTCCCTGTGGGCTGGAGGCTTTTCCCCATCTTACCCACTGCCTCCTTTGATTCATCTGGTGTGGGAGGCAATCGATACCAGTATTGCTCACTTCCACATGCTGGGGGAAAGATAATGAGTGCATCAAGGGCAGGAGCTCTGTAAGATGCTTCTTCCCACATTCCGCGCTCTGCCACACCCCCCCTATCGTGCCCTCTTAAAAGCCTGCTAGGTGACAACAGGTTTGCACAATTCTCATGACACATTTGCTTCAAAATGGATTAAATATCAGCAGGCATTTGTTATGTTAAGTGCACACATGCTATGTAATGTGTCAGTAGAACACTTCCAAGTATGTATTACCTATGTATGTGTCTGCAATTCTTGGCTGTGTTCACAAACGTGTGACATACACTATATTGCCAAAAGTATTGGGCCTGCCCTCCAAATCATGTGATTCAGGTGTCCCAATCACCTCCATGGCCACACATGTATACAATCAAGCCCCTAGGTATGCAGACTGCTTCTACAAACATTGGTGAAAGAATGGGTTGCTCTCAGGAGCTCAGTGACTCCAAGTGTGGTACCGTGATAGGTTGTCACCTGTGCAATAAGTCCATCCGTGACATTTCCTGGCTACTAAATATTCCACGGTCAGCTGTTAGTGGGATTATAACAAAGTGGAAGCAACTGGGAACAACAGCAACTCAGCCACCAACTGGTAGGCCACGTAAAATGACAGAGCGGGGTCAGCGCATGCTGAAGCGCACAGTGCACAGAAGTCGCCAACTGTCTACAGAGTCAATAGCTAAAGACCTCCAAACTTCATGTAGCATTCAGATTAGCACAACAACAGTGCATAGAGAACTTCATGGAATGGGTTTCCATGGCCGAGCAGCTGCATCCAAGCCTTACATCACCAAGTGCAATGCAAAGCGTCAGATGCAGTGGTGTAAAGCACGCCACCACTGGACTCTAGAGCAGTGGAGACGTGTTCTCTGGAGTGACCAATCACGCTTCTCTGTCTGGCAATCCGATGGACGTGTCTAGGTTTGGCAGTTGCCAGGAGAATGGTACTCACTGGACTGAAACTCAAGGACCTCTTTTTAATGGCAAAAGGTGGAGCTTTTCTGAAAAAAAAAAATAATAATGCTGTTGCTGTATATTAAGACATGTCAGTGATATTTTCAGATTTGTAAAGTTACTGACAGGTCAACTTTAATGGTTTGTCTCTCCAACCTGCCACTTAGTTACATGTCTTGAATATCCCAAGTTGTGAATCAGACGTACAGGTAACAGCAAGTGAAAGGATAAACACATACACACACTGCAAGTAAAATAAAACATCAAGTTTTCATACACAGGCAGAGGTGGAGAATGAACTTGACCGGGGTCAAACAAGCGTCAAGATATCCATGATGTTGTTATGTTATTTCCCCAGCAGAGGGCAGTCATGCCACAGAGAGCAGAACACCATTAGTTGGGCTATTTTTAAATCGTGTCTCAAAGCAAAAATATATTTTGTACTTACCGAACAAATGACAAAACAACGTTCAATGGTACACCGTATATAACCGACCAAAAGGGAGCAAAAAAGAGAAGTCCATTGCTAGGGCTTATATTTAATTTGCAATCCATTAAGGATTGATTCACTGCCGCGCACCTTTTATAAATTGAAGCATAATCTGCCTATATTCTGCCTTCCTTGGTTCCTCGGTTTCTTCCTCATCAACATGCTAATTACATTTTAGAAAAAAAAAACTTTCAAAAATATTTTTTTTTTGCTAGATAATTACTTTTAGAACCCCAAACATTATATATATTTTTTAAAGCAGGGGCCCTAGAGAATAAATGGTGGGTGGTGCAATTTTATATGTCACACAATATTTATGTAGCATTTTTTTTCGGGGGGGGGGGGGGGATATACTTTAATGAAGATTAAAGGATAAATTCACCTTTGGGAACATGTTACATGTTTCACTTTTTTTTTAGGGTGTTTTTTTTTTTAGGGTTGAACATGTAACATGTTCCCATATCTGCGCCCGCCGTCCCTCCTCCCTCTGAGAAGTCTCCCCATACTATCTGTCAAATTTGAAAATAGTGTGGCCGTACGGGGCTCCGCCCACACAGTCGCATCACTTCCATGAATGAATGAACTGCAAGTCCCGACAGCCTTAGCGGATGCTGGTTGTAGCTTTCAATGAACTACCACGGTGCTGTGGGGTGCTGTGGGACATTGTGGGGTGCTGTGGGGCGCTGTGGTAGTTCATTGAAGCTTCCTGTCAGAATATCTGCTTGACAGTACATCCCGTACATCCCATACAGCAAGCAGATATTCTGACAGGTCTGCAGGAGACCTGCATGGCATCATTGATCTACTGATCGCTGGTACAAGGCTTTCCAGGCTCCTGTAGACAAAAATAATAAATGCACATTTTTTTACCAGCAATTTATTACTTTTGTCTAAATGGTGAACTTCTCCTTTAATGCACAAAAACACAACATAAATACCCAATTGTTTGGTAAAATATAAAAGATGATGTTATGCCGAGTAAATAGATACCAAACATGCATGCTTTAAAATTGCATACGCCCGTGAAATGGGAGCAAACTATGTACATTTTATTATCCAATGGGGTTTCTTTAAAAGTCTTTACAGGTCACCACTTGAGATTTACAGGTGCTAGAAGTATTTGTCTCGATCTGACGTTGGCGGTGATACCTCACATGTGTGGTGTGATCGCTGTTTACATACCGATGCAGGATTTTTTTTTTTTTGGGGTGGGGGGAGTGAAATCACTCTTATTGCTACTGCAAGAAATGTAGACATCCCTTGTGATAACAATAAGCAATGACAAGTCCTCTACAGAGACAGACCCCACATGTCTCCTCTACTCCTAAAAGCATTGAATAAAACTCGGGTTGCTTCGATCCAATTCTTTCTTAAACCAGCAATGGTTCGTTTAAAACTGGTGAGTATTTTGTCAATTCCGGTTTCATAGACCATAGAGATGATTGAGGACATTTGAGTCACCGACCAGCTCTATGGTCAGCCGGCTGAATAGCCAGCTGCAGACCCAGTTTCCCCAGTGGGACAGGAGAGCCCGGAAGTTGGTGGAAGGCACTGCTAGGATTGTTTTTACAAAAAAAGCACACCTTTGGCTGCAGGAATCATTCCAGTATTACCATTCAACATCACAGCATTCTGCCTCTGTACTCCTCTCAAGAGCCCTGATGCAAACTAGCTCCTTAGAGGACTTCTATAAATATCACAATGCTTTGATGGGTGAATATGGCCGATTTAGCTTCCATTATTTGACAATTGCCCACAAACTGGTGCATAAAAATATCACAAGACTGTATGGCTCTAATTTACACTCGTTTTCCGAGCTGCTTCCTATAATTGTGTACGACAGGACACGGCGCAGGAATCCCCCTCACCTCCAGCATGGCCAGCTCCTCCCCATTATGCAGGATGCGGAATGAGTACAGGTGGTCCGGGGTTGGTTGCGGAATGATGTCACAGCCCAGCAGGGAGACGGGCTGAAGGGCTGCTTTTCCCCTGTTTCTTTCCTGATAGATGTGGAGCTGCCCATCCTTGATGCAGCAATAGCGTGATTTCCAATGGCTGTTTATCAGCACGTTCAGGTAATCTGAAAAAACAAGGACTAAAGTTCACATCTAGGCAAAAAAAAACTTTTGTAGCACATGTCAGCAATACAGTCACATTTTCCCATATTGAATCATGATAAAAATGCTGCAATTATAGAAAAATACCCATATTTACCACAAATCTGGCAAGCACCAAACTTCCTGTGGTGAGGTGGGTGACAATGCTGCCTCTTCTGAACTGAAATACCAATCAGTGTTGTCAGCATTCCCTTGCTGGACTACAGAACGCCAACCCCTTATGTAATGAAAGTGAGAAGCGTTATGTAGTACAGCCGGGGAGAATTGGGCATGGCTGACAACACTGCTTTGGATATCAGTGCAAAAGAAACAGATTCAGGTCCCATGGGATCACAGAGGAACAAAGAGGGAATCTACACGGGAGATTCCCTTCACAAAAGTCTTAATCAGAGAGTGAGGGGCCAATGGTCTATGTAACAGGACAGAAAAAGCAGAAACAAGACTCTTGATAGGGCTGAGAGCATAACGCTGGTCAAAACCCAGCTGCAAGTAGTACAAGAATTGCAGCAAGGAAAAACTCTGGGGTGGAAGCCCAAAACTCACACCAAGTGAAGTACGTCTTCCATGTCTGATGACAGACCTTGCAGGAACTAGATTTCCTAGCTTCAAGCATCATAGGAATTACAGACTCTTGTCCCTCAGAACCTGGACTTCTACAGCCATGCTGCTAAAAAGAGCGATCAAGGAGCAGTATGGTGTAAGAGTCTGACAACCTGGCAGCGTCCATGGAGTGTCTGTCTGGAGTTATACTATGACGGCATACCATATCCATCTGAGACAGTACAGAGCAATGAAGATCACTGAGATAACCACAATCTCAATCGTACAGAACAGACAAGAAAAATGTTTCAAGGGAGGAATGCATAGATTAGGATGTCTGGATTCCACTGTACCACCAGAGAATCCAGTGCTTCTATTAAAGGATCCCTGTACCTAAGGACAAACCACCTGTCCAGCAGTTTGCTATTGAATCTAAAGGCTAGGACGGTGGTCCACATTTGGATCCTCCAGGTGTAGGGGCTAACAGGGGCGGACTGACAACTCATGGGGCCCCCCGGCAAAAAGGGATCATGAGGCCTCTGTGTCCTCGCCTACACCCAAAAAAGCCTATGAAAAAGCCAATGAAAGGTACCAGGGGCATCTAATGGGGCCCCCTACTGACCCCAGGCCCTCGGGCACTGCCCGAGAGCTCGAATGGTCAGTTCGCCCCTGAGGCCAATTTTCTAATGCCAGCTGAGGAGATCTGTTTGTCAATTTTCCATGCCGTGAACCTACCAAGGGCAGCATCCCCTTGTGATAGGCTACTGTCCGTTGTGAGGATTTTCTAGAACCAGATTCCTGAGCCACCAAGCCACGGACAACCTAGTCCTCGGCTGTCCAGGGACCAGAGTTATCCCACCATGACAAAATGTTGTGTTGCATATGTCTGGAGTGGAAATAGGCAAAAAAGGACTGCCTTGATGAAGGCTCCTATAAGGCCGAGGACTCGCATGCAAGGACAGAGACCTGGATGGCTTCTGGACTGGAGAGTTCAAACCTGAAGGAACATTCTGACCTGAGATGTGTCCAGGACTAGACCCTGATACTCAAGCAAAGAGTGAACTTCAGCAATGATTTCTGAAAGTTCAAGATCCACTCAAACTGCTGTAATATCTGAAAGTCAAAGACACATCTGTCAGAGCCCTCACTGACGTTTCTCTCAACATAGTCTTTTAAGTACCCACAATGGGGTTACCAAGAAACTGCAGCAAAGCTAATAGTGGAACCAGCACCAAGGCGCAGACAAGAGGCCAAAGAGCAGGATCACAAACACTTGCAGGTAAGCAACTTAAATGTACACAGAGGCCAGAAGTCCCCCTGGTGAAGGGAGGAAAGTTAAGGATCTAAAGGACTCAACTTAGAATTTCTTGGTCTGAATTAAAAGTTACAAAGTATTGAGGTCTAAGATGGGCCAAACAGTCGAGACTGGATTAAAAACCCCTATTACTGCCCCATTTCCTTCTCTGCCACAGAAACTTGAGCAATGACACCTTGATCCAGAAGACCTGAGATGGCTCAATGGAGATCTGCTAATCTGTGTAGTGATTGGAGGTAAGAAATACTCAGACGAAAGGCCAATATGCACTTGAAGGGAGCCATCCACTGAACAGGATGCTTCAAATCTCCATAGAGAAACAGCAGGAAAAGCAAGTGCAAAGGGGAAGTCTTTGTGGCCAGATGAGTTGTAAACGATGATCTGGAGGCAGCACTTGTAGAGGTAACAGGCTAGTTTTAATTTGGGAGTAATAGCAGTAGACAGACTCCTCAGGAGGTAAGCTCATTAGTCAAGGACTGGCAGGACCCAGAACCAGGACCTGTGTGGCTTCTATTTAGAATCTGCTGACAAAGGCTCTGGGCTATTTTTGTGGCCTTTGTGATCAGAGTCAGCATGCAACTGGCCACTTTGGGCTATAAAGTCCTGCATGACTGCGGTAAAAACCTTAACTGAAAGAGCAGAGAATGCAGCCAGACATGAAGGAGCCAACTAGGATTCCCAAGATGGCATAGACCACAAGGGAAGAGGACAACATGACTGCAAACTACAGACATCAGCACAGTCAGTACGTGTGCAGATAGAAGCCCTGGAGCTGTTTGTGGAAGGTAAGGTGGTGCATCTAATACAGTGGAAGTGTCCTGATGGTGTCTAGAATTGGATATGCTGCTGCAATCGCATACTGTAAGGCTTCATATAGGCTCAGGGTAAATGGCAAGGTCTCAAGTACTCATGAAACTCTAGTAGCTGGTGAGGGTTGGATAGCTGGAGATCACCAAAGTTACTGTAGGTGGGTAGCCGGAACTGATAAAATTCCATGTGTCTCTTTGTAAGCAGAAGCAGCAGTAGACCGCATGACCTTCCAACCAGCAGATGATATCAAGGCTCAACCCTACAACATTAACCCCTTCTGCAGCCAAACAGGCAAGAACTGGTAATAGGTGCACCCAACAACCTATGTAAATGAGGTAGCTTCTGCTCACTTAGTATTTAGAGACAAGGTAAGCATTGAGACAATGCTGATGAATCTCAACCTAGAAAGTGCTGTGCAACTCCCCAGAAGAGCCCCGAGAAAAATCCAGTGCCAAAGGTCACTTCCATGCTATCTCTGCAACGTCAAGTCCAGTGGGGTCTGGATGTGGTACTCCAAAAGCTAGCCTAAGAGACAACTGCGCCAGAACGCTCTCCAATAAAGTCTATCCTCTGACGATAAGATCTCAAAATAAAACAATGAAAATACACAAGGGGGGGGACTTACTAATATTGGAGTACTCAGAATCTGGTGCAGCTGTACATGGTAGCCAATCATCTTCTAACTTCAGCTTGTTCAATTAAGCTTTGACAATAAAACCTGGAAGCTGATTGGTTTCTATGCACCAGATTTTGCACTCTCCAGTTTTAGTAAATCTTCCCAAAATCTCAAGGGGTAACTCCATCCAAACAATGGAATATACAACTCAGAGGCACTTGGAGAGGTTTTGTGGCAGGAGCGAACGCTTTATTCTGCTATAATTCATAGGACTTACTGGAGGTCTCCAAGTTCTTCTCTGGACTTTCCATGGAGGAGGACTTCTTTCTGCCCAGATTCATGAGGTTGCTGAGTTTGAGGCCAGATGTTCCTTTCTTCTTCACTAAGAGAGATGGAGGAGGTTTGTGTTATTGACACTCTGGTGTTCGCATTATTCTTCCAATATTGCATCTCTTCTATTAGATCTAGAAGAACTACATTACATGGGTGCCATGCTGCACTCCCCTTGTGTGTGCCCACCTACAGCTTCCTGGACAAAGGAGACCTCCAGATGTACCAATTACAGATCAAATGATATTGTGCTGCTAAAAATGGAACTGTTCTCCTGTTTAATATTTCCAGGTTGGGCAGACACCATAAGAACCCCACCATTGTCTTTACTACACAGAGCAGCTTCTTTGGTGCCCCTCCGATTCAGTTTTATTTTGTTACCAGGGTTTGACTTTCACCGAATTTAAGCCATGCCGATTTCCATTCTGTTTTCCGATTGGCCTGTAAGGCCTTTGGTATCTTAGTTAGGGAAAGTCAGACTCCAATATAAAGTGAAACTAAATCAGAGAGGGGCATCATAGAGGGCATTTTGTATTCTATTAAAGGTAAAGTGGATTTCATGAAGTGTCTGCTCTTAGGGAGAATTCTTTAGGCTAGGGTCGCACTTACAGGTGTGATCAAGCACACGCATGTTTCTGTGCGTCACATGTAGGTAAGCCCATGCAATTCAGTGAGCTGCCCTTTTGTGAGACAAACACGGAAAAGAGCCTTTTCCATAAACCACAACCATTCCCGAACCATATGGTGCTGTGGCATGCATTAGCAGATGCGTCGGGTTGCTGTTAATAATGAATGGCACTGCAGCATGACTGCTAAAGGGCAGTGTGTTTTTCTATGCATGTTGGGAAAGCGGACGATTTTCACATGTTCCTGATGTGTAAGGATGTGAACCCAGCCTTACAGTACAGAGAAACGCCGTGCCTGGTCCCATGAGGCTGGGGGGGCCCAATGCTAACCTGGATTTTCAAAAATGACTTTTTAGCAATGACAGTGTTGATTGTATAAGAATATACAGTATATACACATTTCAGTCTGTTCTACAAAACTTGTTAATAGGTCATTTGAAATGTTGTCATAGGGCTGTCTGTGCGACAATTCAAATAAAGCTTTTTAAAAGTGTAAATCCACTTTCGTGGGAAATACATAGCAAATAAAAAAATAATTAAAAAAAATAATATAGCATTTTCTGCACAAGCCATATTGTCATTTTCTGTGAAATTCAACTCAGTGACAATATAACTGGATATAACTTTTAAAGGTAAAGTTGATCCAGGGAATATCCGATTGCCTCTCGGGGGATCAGGAAGGAATTTTTTTCCCTGCAGAAGCAAATCAGATCATGCTTTGCTGGGTTTTTTTTGCCTTCCTCTGGATCAGTTTGGGATAAGAGGAAGCAAAGGGCCCTGATCCTGAGAGCTTACAATCTAAGCATGCACACTGGAGTCTCACCCACAGCACAGAGCTCTGAAACAGCACGAGTATGCCATTCCAGAGAACATGCTCCGGTGACGTCATCAGCTGCAGACACTGAATATCTCCTAAATGGTCCATGTTCAGGGGATATTCCTGTATCTACAGGTAAGATTTATTATAAGATAACCTGTAGGTACAAGTGTCCAGTGGGAGTTTACTTCCACTTCAATTAAATCCTAAAGGGATGCAGACCCTGCAACTTTCCTCATTAAAACTCTGCAAGTTCATCAGCTGTTCATTCTGCACACAGCTGTTTAGTCAGAGCAGAATCAGGTCAGAATCTGCAACAAAGTTGGTTTAAAATTCCCTGTAATGTACATAGATCATCCAAAGGGGAGTGTTTTCTTTTTCCTTATAAAAGTGGAGTTATTCTTTAAGGCAGAATTGTGGAGAAAGCCTCAATCCTCATAGTTGGGCTCTATGTTTCTCGCTGTCCTTGGATGCATGGCGCTCAGCCGTCTAAGTTCATAATTACCAGCAGAATGGCCCTCAGTTCCAGTGGTAATCAGCAAATATATTAATTAGCGCCCAGTATGAGGTCAGAGCCGTCTTGGTGAGAATAGAGCCGTGCAGCTTGGAAGGTCTCCGGCTTTTAAATTGCTTCTTCCTGCAACTTCTTTACAATTGACCACAGAGGCCAAACTCCCCGCACAAAGAGCCATTGTGGAGCCAAGCTGCGGCATCCTGCGGTGTGATTCTATAATTATCCCGGCAGAGGAACGGCTACAACCCCTCCGTTCCTGTCTGAGGCCAAGAGAGTCCACCACCATCCATACCGGGCATCCGCTACGGAGGGACAGGAGGGCTACAGGCACAATACATCTTCTCTGATACATGAGGACAGCTCTGGTCCTGTATCAGTTTAATGTACACAGTCCCACTTCTCTTGTCCTGGATGCCGGGTGTAATTCTCGGTATCTGTCTTTATTCTGTATGTATGGACTCTGCACAGTCCCACTTCTCCTGTCCTGTATGCCAGGTGTAATTCTCGGTATCTGTCTTTATTCTGTATGTATGGACTCTGCACAGTCCCACTTCTCCTGTCCTGGATGCCAGGTGTAATTCTCGGTATCTGTCCTTATTCTGTATGTATGGACTCTGCACAGTCCCACTTCACCTGTCCTGTATGCCGGGTGTAATTCTCAGTATCTGTCCTTATTCTGTATGTATGGACTCTGCAGAGTCCCACTTCACCTGTCCTGTATGCCGGGTGTAATTCTCAGTATCTGTCCTTATTCTGTATGTATGGACTCTGCACAGTCCCACTTCTCCTGTCCTGGATGCCGGGTGTAATTCTCAGTATCTGTCTTTATTCTGTATGTATGGACTCTGCACAGTCCCACTTCTCCTGTCCTCGATGCCGGGTGTAATTCTCAGTATCTGTCCTTATTCTGTATTTATGGACTCTGCACAGTCCCACTTCTCCTGTCCTATATGCCGGGTGTAATTCTCAGTATCTGTCCTTATTGTGTATGTATGGACTCTGCACAGAACCACTTCTCCTCTCTTGTATGCCGGGTGTAATTCTCGGTATCTGTCCTTATTCTGTATGTATGGACTCTGCACAGTCCCTCTTTCCCTGTTCTGTATGCCGGGTGTAATTCTTGGTATCTGTCCTTATGCTGTATGTTGGTTATAATTCTCAGTATCTTCTTTAATTCATGAGAACCCACTAACTGAACCTTGTTGCAATGAACTGGGAACAGCAATGGCTGGTCATTGTCTGTATGATGGCTGGTCATTCACCTCCCATACTGCTGTGTGCACCATTCTGGTTAATATTTTACAGACAGGGAGGTAAGCTGCATAACACAGGATCATGCAACCAGATGCTGTAGTCCCCTCACCCAGCAACACAGGATGAGAGCTCACACACTGTTAGGAGATATTCTATTACCTTCCTTCACATCTGCAGTCTCGGGGTGCCCGTCTGTACTGCTCCCACTTTCAGAAGCTGCTGAATATCTGTCTGTGATTTCTCCCTGTGAACGATCCAAAAAATACATGATATAAATTACCACTAAATCCACATTAAACATAGTGCTGTACCACAGACTACACCATCGTAGCAAGTTCCCAGGTATGGCAATGTGCTGCAATGCATGAAGGGTGTTGCGCATGCACAGTAGGTATTGGGGTGAGCAGGACTGCTGTTAGAAGCCATGGGGCCCCATGCAGCCAACCTATAAGCCCCTCCCCCCAAAAAATAAACAGTTTACTATGCTTCAGTTATGAACACAGTGAGTGATTGGCACTGATCACTCATTGTATTTATGCAGAAAAGAAAGGGGCTGGAGGATCCTATTTTGTGCTTGCAGCTGCCAGAGGAGGGAAGCTGCCAGCACTGTGGGGGCACACGGGGGGCCTTGGCAGCAGGGGGAAATTTTATGATGCACAGGGAGGGTGATTGGTGCGACAGGGGACAATTATTGGAACCGATCCCCTGTATGGCTCTCTCTGCAGCAGCTGAAACCAGCGGGAGGAGAAGAAGCCAGCTTTCAGCTGCTGCAGAGAGAGCCATACAGGGGATCGGTTCCAGTAATTGCCCTCCTGCTGTGCCAATCACCCTCCCTGCTCACATCTGATTCATTCAGCCTGGGCCCTCCTGCTGGTCTGTGCCCCAAACAGGAGGACTGGTGGTACCCCCCACAGCCCTGGGGGTGAGCTGCAGTACACAAGCATTGTGGAGGTGCAATAGGGTGCTATTCAAAATAATAGTGCAGTGCACCAACACACACAACATACATCACCGGGAATGGTATAAATAAGATGTAAATTTCCAGCACCCTGGAGAATATTTGCGACCATGCCACAGACTGTAGTGCTATAAAATGCTGATTTTTAATGCCTGGCACCCCAACACCAAAAGCCATAGTCACAGCATTCCCATCCTCATTGTCTAGCCATCAAATCCCATGAAGACTGGCCAGCTTTAGCAGTGTTTGTGACCTCACTCACCATGGGGTGACATCACAATGTTGGTGACATTTGCAGTTATTTACTTTAGTCTGGGCGCTCCGCGGAGTGTCGGGTGTGCTCAGCGAGATCTCAGGGACTGCATCCGTCTGTTGGCCGCCAATATCCTGGATGACCTATACAGAACAAACAAACAGCCGTCATATTCAATGGAGTGCCTCAACAATCCTGCCTGCATATGGCCTATTGTTTAAAAGTGGACCTGTCATTAGATTTAGGAGTCTGCATAAAAAATAAATCCTGACTGTTCACAATATACACTAACAATTAAGTACCGTCCGTTATACTAATACAGCTACAATCACTTCAAGTACAATATAAAGTAAAATGATTATTTTCTGGAAAAGCTCCATCTTTTACTATTTCAAAGCCATTTCTGAGCCCCGATTTAGTGACTGCCTGATTTAGTATGCCTAGCCTGAGATGATGTCATCACTCTGCTGCAGGCAGATTGAAGCATTTCCTCAGTCTCCTCTCCCCCCCAGTGATCAGACTGCAACACTATACAAATGTCTGTCATAGATCAGCCCCTCACTTTGTGACTTTATGCAAAGATACACAGACAAAAATTGCACAGACACCAAGATTTATATGATTATGTCATCTCTGAGCCGGCATCTCAGTCCTTGAGGTAGATGGTGACCCTGGATGATGCCTGAACCAAGATGATGCTATCCCTCTGGAGAGAAAAGTGGATGAAGGCATTGTCAAGTGGAGTACTGTGATCTATGTGAGAGGTAAAAAAAAATACTTTTTATATTGTAAGCTCCACGAGCATGGCCTGGTCCTTCTGTATTGATCTGTATTGTCTCCCTTTATATTGTACAGCGCTGTGCACACTGTTGGCGCTATATAAATCCTGTATAATAATAATACCCAGATCAAATCAGATTCAGGAGATTTAGCATGACTGCTCCTCCCCTGGCACTGTGCATAATACATATATATATACATAATACACACACACATATATATATATATATATATATATATACACACAGTGAAAGAAATAAGTATTTGATCCTCTGCTGATTTTGAATGTTTGCCCACTCACAAAGAAATGATCAATCTAAAAAATGAATGGTAGGTGTATTGTAACACTGAGAGACAGAAAAGCAACAAACAATTCAAAAGAAATGCATGTCTAACAAATGATACACTGATTTGCATGTTAATGAGAGAAATAAGTATTTGATCCCCTTCACAAAACATGACTTCGTACTTGGTGGCAAATCCCTTGTTGGCAATCAGAGGTCAGACGTTTCCTGTAGTTGGCCACCAGGTTTGCACACATCTCAGGAGGTATTTGGTCCACTCCTCTTGGCAGATCCTCTCCATGTCATTAAGGTTTGGTGGCTGACGTTTGGCAACTCGAACTTTCAGCTGCCTCCACAGATTTTCAATCGGATTAAGGTCTGGAGACTGGCTAGGCCACTCCAGGACCTTAAATGTGCTTCTTCTTGAAACACTCCTTTGTTGCCTTGGCCGTGTGTTTTGGGTCATTGTCATGCTGGAACATCCATCCACGACCCATTTTCAATGCTCTGGCTGAGGGAAGAAGGTTCTCACCCAAGATTTGATGGTACATTGCCTCGTCCATCATCCCTTTGATAGAGGCAGTTGTCCTGTCCCCTTAGCAGAAAAACCCCCCCAAAGCAGAATGTTTCCACCACCATGTTTGACAGTTGGGATGGTGTTCTTGGGGTCATAGGCAACATTCCTCCTTCTCCAAACACGGCGAGTTGAGTTGATGCCAAAGAGCTCGATTTTGGTCTCATCTGACCACAACACTTTCAACCAATCCTCCTCTGCATCATTCAGATGTTCAGTGGCAAACTTCAGATGGGCCTGGACATGTGCTTTCTTGAGCAGAGGGACCTTTCAGGCACTGCAGGATTTTAATCCGTGTCGGCGTAGTGTGTTACCAATTGTTTTCTTGTGTAGGTCTACAATCTTGTCCCTGACATCCTTGGACAACTCTTTGGTCTTTGCCATGGTGGAGAGTTTGGAATCTGATTGTTTGATTGCTCCTGTGGACAGGTGTCTTTTATACAGGTAGCAAAATGAGATTAACTGCACTCCCTTTAAGAGACTGCTTCTAATCTCAGCTTATTACCTGTATGAAAGACACCTGGTAGCCAGAAATCCTGCTGAATGATAGGGGATCAAATACTTAGTTCCCTCATGAACATGCAAACCAATGCATCATTTGTTAGACACGCATTTATTTTGAATTTTTTGTTGCTATTCTGTCTCTCAGTGTTACAATACACCTACCAGTCAGTTTTAAGACTGATCATTTCTCTGTAAGTGGGCAAACATTCAAAATAAGCAGGGGATCAAATACGCATTTCCTTCACTATATATATATATATATATATATATATATATATGCCCTTCCGCCATCATTATAGGACCTGACAAAGTGGCATTGTAACCATCTATAATTCCTCACATGTGATTGGAGTAGATTAAAAGTCACCATTACTGATCCCCTGAGTCCACCATACTCCAGCAGATGTTTTACAATGTTGGAGACGGAGCCTCGTCTGATCATCACCCAACAGTTTCACGTTTTATTGGGTCCAGAAGGTTTCGTGGAGAACTGTCGGCTTTTATGTGCGGGGCTTTGAAGCATCAAGTGATGGCGTTCCCATGGCGGGCGGAGAAGACATTCAATGTCCACTCCTAGGACAATCTTCAATGACCTCCATTAAAGTGGAACCCCTTCACTCAAAGACTTATTGTTCAGAGGCAATTTGTCTCCTCTCCACGCTACATCAAACAGCCAGGGCCCCCGCGGGCTGCCGCACATGAAGAGGGGGACCTGTAACCAAGGGGCACCTACATGGCAGGAGGAACAAAGCCACTTGTCTGGAGGGTGATAAAATGCTTCATTAGGAAGAACAGGAAAAATAGGGAGCTTTCTCATGTGTCTGCAGGTCCCACAATTCATATCATTTACCAGAATGACATCACTACTCTGCAGATACAGCATGTTATATTTGATCCCTGTGATATACCAAGTCTCCAAATAGGTAACATTTATTATAAAAAGTCACAAAATTGATGTCCATATATAAGTTATATTGTACAGGAGTGACATCACCGCTCTCCAGATATAAGTTATATTATACAGGCGTGACATCACCGCTCTCCAGATATAAGTTATATATACAGGAGTGACATCACCGCTCTCCAGGTATAAGTTATATTATACAGTAGTGACATCACCGCTCTCCAGATATAAGATATAATATACAGGAGTGACATCACCGCTCTGCAGATATAAAATATAATATACAGGAGTGACATCACCGCTCTGCAGATATAAGATATATATAGAGGAGTGACATCACCGCTCTGCAGATATAAGTTATATTATACAGGAGTGACATCACCGCTCTGCAGATATAAGTTATATTATACAGGAGTGACATCACCGCTCTGCAGATATAAGTTATATTATACAGAGTGACATCACCGCTCTCCAGATGTAAGTTATATTATACAGGAGTGACATCACCCCTCTCCAGATATAAGTTATTTATACAGGAGTGACATCACCGCTCTGCAGATATAAGATATATACAGGAGTGACATCACAGATATAAGAGGAGTGACATCACCGCTCTCCAGATATAAGTTATATTATACAGGAGTGACATCACCGCTCTCCAGATATAAGTTATATTATACAGGAGTGACATCACCGCTCTCCAGATATAAGTTATATTATACAGGAGTGACATCACCGCTCTCCAGATATAAGTTATAATATACAGGAGTGACATCACCGCTCTCCAGATATAAGTTATATATACAGGAGTGACATCACCGCTCTCCAGATATAAGTTATATTATACAGGAGTGACATCACCGCTCTCCAGATATAAGTTATATTATACAGAGTGACATCACCCTTCTCCAGATATAAGTTATATTATACAGGAGTGACATCACCCCTCTCCAGATATAAGTTATAATATACAGGAGTGACATCACCGCTCTCCAGATATAAGTTATATTATACAGGAGTGACATCACCGCTCTCCAGATATACAGTAAATGATTTTTGAGGAGATCCGATGGTCTCTCCTTACCTTCAGCCATTGCATGGCCTGGTCTTTGCTCTGCATCCCCAGTACTATGACATCAGCATTGGTCGGAGTGATTTTCAGCTTGTGCTCCTTCTTGCGCACTTGCTTCTCTTTGTGGGTGACGGTGCAGCCGATCAGACAGACATCCAGCAGAGGACTGTGTTCTTTGGAGCTCTTATAGCACTGGGCAGAGGAAATATCCAACAAATGAATTACACATGTTATAGAGTGAGCATCCAATCATATCTGTGTAACCAGTGAGGGGTTCCCACCATCCTTGCACTGACCTCCCAGCTCTGCTCATTAGGAAATGTTCCCACCACCTCTCTACTGAGTTCCTGGGTTTGCAAACCTGCTGTGCCCATTATGAGGGGTTCCCAAAAACCTTGCGTTGATTTCACAGGTCAGCATACCTGCTCTACCCACTATGAGGGTTTCCCATTGGAAACGAACTCTCCTGCGCTCTGAGACCCAAAAAGGTGGATAGATGGAACCAGAACTTGAAAAATTCGACCACCTGTGCATATGGGGTTGTGCAGCTCCAAACAAGGCTGGGGAAGCCCAACCAATACTGTGAAGTGAAAACAAACAAGAAGCGCACCTACCTTGCGCATTACCTCAGTAAACCAAAATGTTATTGAATACAGAATAATACTCACAAAACAATGAAGTATGGCAAGCTCTGATGAAGAAGGGACGCCCTCCGAAACGCGTCAACTCTTCCCTGAGTGCCCACCCCTATGATAGGACTCACGCAGGCTTTACCATTCAATAGCTCCTCTGAGAACTTACATGCTTGAAATACTTCACTGTTTGTGAGTATTATTCTGTATTCAATAAAATTTTGGTTTACTGAGGTAATGCGCAAGGTTGGTGCGCTTCTTATTTGTTTTCGCTTCACAGCATGAGGGTTTCCCACCAGTCCTGTATTGAGTTCTAGGGTCTGTACACCTGATGTGTCCATTATGAGGGGTTCCCACCATCCCTGTGCTGAGTTCCCAAGTCTGTACACCTGATGTGCCCAATATACGGGGTTCCCACCATCCCTATACTGTATTCCCAAATCTGTACACCTGCTTTGCCCATTATGAGGGGTTCCCACCATCCCTGCTCTAAGTTCTCAGGTCTGCACACCTGCTGTGCCCATTATGAGGGATTCCCACCATTCAGAGCTATTCAAACAGGTGAAGGTTTAACTCTCTGCCCACCGGAGAAGTAGTTAATTTATTCTCTAACAGGGGCACAACTGACCCAAACTATTACAGCGTTCCTGTAAGTCACCCTCTAGGCCCAGCCCCGGCCCCCCTCTGATATCCCCCTCACCAGCAGTCTGTTCTCCCTGATAACACAGAGCTGTTTGGCCCATTGGCCCAGCCACTTTTTCCGCCACAGGAATGCACAGATCAGAGCGTCCTTCATCAGCTCGATGGATGCCTCGGTTGATGGCCATTGATGTTGATGGGCAGACGACTTTTTGAGATTTTCTTCTTCGTCATACGACTCATATGAGCTGCTGACAGCGTCTCCATCCTCTGTGAACAATAGAGAGAATGGAATTCATACAACACAAAGAACGCAGAGTAAATGAATTCAGTCCAGCCGGGCCTCGTCCACTAGAATCAGATCATCAGATTTCACAAGTTCCACTTTTTATGTCACTAACAGTAATAAGTGGTCCACACATAACATCAATTGCTCATGCACACGGCAGCACAGCATCCATAAAATCTTTACTTGGACCCACATCTGCTGTGCGGGGCCGCTGTTAGAAATCACAGGCCCCCCCCACCAGACAGAACCATGGCCTGAGCCCCCCCCCCCCCCTTCGTAGCCTGCAGGCAGCCAGCGGAGAAAAGTGGGGCAGAATGAACTGTGCCGATGAAAATTTGGGTGTGGCAAAATTAACAGTGGGAGAGTGTAGGTGTCTGGAGTATGTAATATACAAAGTGCAGGTATCAGGTGTATATAATGTACAAAATGCAGGTGTCAAGAATATGTAATTGTACAGAGGGCAAGGGGCAGGCATATGTAATGTATACAATGGAGGAGCCAGGAGTATGTACCATATTGTGTGCAGGAGTCAGGGGTGGGTAAAGTACAGAGTACAGGGATCAGGAGTATGTACTATACAGTATTCATCTGTCCTGAATGTACTCTACATAGTAATATTCATAGTTTGGCGGTCAGGAGTATGTAATGTACAAAATGCAAGGGCCAGGAGTATGTAATGTACATAGTTCAGGGGTCAGCAGAGGGTATTGCATAGAGTGCAGGGGTCAGGAGTGTGTAATGTACATAGTGTAGGGGTCAGGAGTGTGTACATAGTACATGTACATCAGGAGTCAGGGGGGTCAGGAGTGTGTAATGTACATAGTGCAGGGGTCAGGAGTGTGTAATATACATAGTTCAGGGGTCAGGAGTGTCTATTGTACATAGTGCAGGGGGTCAGGAGTGTGTAATGTACATAGTTCAGGGTCAGGAGTGTGTAATGTACATAGTTCATAGTTCAGGGGTCAGAAGTGTGTAATGTACATAGTTCAGGGGTCAGGAGTGGGTATAGTGGGTATAGTTATAGTACATAGTTCAAGGGTCAGCAGAGGGTATTGCATAGAGTGCACGGGTCAGGAGTGGGTAATGTACATAGTTCAAGGGTCAAGAGTGGGTTACATAGTTACATAGTTAGTCTGGCTGAAAAAAAGACAAACGTCCATCCAGTTCAGCCATAGGAAAAAAAAAAGTTATAATCCTATACCCACAGTTGATCCAGCAGAAGGCAAAAAAACCCAGCAAATCATGATCCAATTTGCTCCTGCTGGGAAAACAAATTCCTTCCTGATCCCCTGAGAGGCAATCGGATATTCCCTGGACCAACTTTACCTATAAATGTTAGTATCCAGTTATATTCTGTGTATCTACCAGTGTGTCTATCTGGGTAATGCACATAGTTCAGGGGTCAAGAATGTGTAATGTACATAGTTCAAGGGTAAGCAGAGGGTATAACAGAGTGCAGGGGTCAGGAGTGTGTAATGTACATAGTTTAGTGGGAGGGAGTGAGAAACATACAGAGTTCAGAGGTCAAGAGTATGTAATGTACAGAGTTAGGGTTAGGAGGGGGTAATGCACAAGTGAAGGCTGCAAAGGCAGTGGATGGCAGTGTTCACATGAATGGTGAAAATGATCGCCCGTCACATTTGGCTACCGAATGCATGACCCAATCCACTGAATGAGGCTGCCCCACAACTGTGTACAATGCACGTGGTGGTGCAGGTGAAGGGGAGGCAGAGGGGTGAAGGGGAGGAGGGGGTGAGAGGGGTGGGAGGGGGGGCAACTTCTGACATTTTTACATAGCACTACATATCACCTTACTACACCAGATTAGTTTCTTCCCAGTGATCTTGACAATTCTGTTTTTTTTTTGTCTTTTTTTCTGAAAATCCCCATGGGAGTAGGCCGTGACTTTAATTTTTAGGAAATGCGGTGCAGCAAATTACTCAGCCTGCACCTGAAAATTATTAAGCAGCTCACTTTCTGCTCTGGCCCCCTGTTGAACATATGGGGCCCAGGGAAGTTTTTTTTTGACTGCTTCAGAATGTGGGATTACTCTTCTAAAGCGCAGAAGTTGGGAGCCCCCTCTGTGACTCCAGGGCCAGACCCAATACAGAAGGGCTGGCGCTATCACTTTGTTGGCGGACCTGCTGCTTTGTATAGCCGCCCATAGTGAGAGGGGCTTAAAGGGGTATGGTTTAATAACACCAGAACCTTCTTTGCTCTGGGTCAAGAGGGCAGGCCCACGTGTGCACTACAGGTCACCATCACAAGCAAGTGCAAAGAGGCCAATAATCCACATCCTTACCTCCTGCAACAAAGTCTGCACAGGCCCAGAGGGGAATAACTGGGTACAGGGGCGGACTGACCATTTGAAAACTTGGGCACTGCCCGAGGGCCTGGGGTCAGTAGGGGGCCCCATGAGATGCCCCTGGTACCTTTTTCATAGGCTTTTTTAAATTTGGGCAAGCACACAGGGGCCCCATGATCCCTTATTGCCCGGGGGTCCCATAAGTTGTCAGTCCGCCCCTGACTGGGTATATGTAATTTATTATTATTACACAGGATTTATATAGCGCCAACAGTTTGCTCAGCGCTTTACAATATAACAGGAGACAATACAGCGACAGTACAGTTCAATACAAGAGGGATAGGAGGGCCTGATCCTGGGAGCTTACAATCTAGGAGTATCAGCATGTGGCATCATCAATAATCCTGTACATAGCTGGGGACAGACTCACCCCTCCTCTCCCTCCTCCAATCCAGTCACAGAAATGTTGCCAAGATGGATAACCCTGCAGTCACCTGGCCCGGGGATATCATTATTAAAGCTAGGGACCCATTATTATAACCGGGGACATTTTTTCCCCCCAGGATCAGCTCCCTTAAATGGGAGCCTGTCCCCAGAAACCTGGGATTTCTGGTCACCCTACTACAAAGTGATAATGATGAGGATTGGTATAGCCGGCATTCGTCGTCTTCCCAAATAATAAACTTTATCGAGTGAGTAAAATGTGCATATAAAAAAATGGTTTACGCGTTTCGGCAATAAGCCTTAGTCATAGCCATGGCTATGCACATTTTACTCACTCAATAGAGTTTATTATTCGGGAAGACGAATGCCGGCTATACCAATCCTCATCATTCAGTTTCATCTGTGCTGGGAAGACATAGAGCCAGAGCCCCGACATTGCACCTCCGTGGGGATCATCTCTAGCACCTGCTTGTTTACAAAATGAGAATGCTGAGGGCCCATCAACAAAGGTGGAGCATCAGACAGAAGAGGAAAGTGCTGGCTCCTGGGGAACTTTGGGGGGTGGTCACACGACCAAAACCCTAAGGGTATATATTATTATGTATACATTTACATGATTTCTTATTGGCAGGGCTATGCAGTAACATTTTAAAAAATATTTTTCCATGTTATTAATTATGTAAAGTTTACATATATGGTATTTTTCCTATCCAGCTGGTCGCGTGAAGATCTTTATGGCTGTCCAGTTGTATGATACTCTCCTTAGCTGCTTTGCTGAGCGTTTACAGAGCTCAATAGCTCAAGCTAAACTGCACACCCCAGAATTGCAGCAACTCCAACATAAGACAGGGCCATATGGAGATTCAATTAGTTCCCATAATGCTCTGGGCATCCTGTGTCATGGATGCATGCCGTCTTAAATGTTTTTTTGCAGAACAAAATTTATATTCACAAACTAAAAAAAATTTTTTAAATCCTCATTAAAAATCTAACATAAAATAGATAACATGGATCCAAACTTTCCCTTTAATAGTTTTCCATTGTAGATGTTTAGCGTGGTTCTCTAGTAGCGGTCTGCGAGGATGGAGGGGGGGGCAGAGCGAGGAGTGTGAATGGAATCCGTGTATCTCTAGGACAGGAAGACGCAGTTTGCGCACAGCGCGGGATGTGATAACCGTATCCGGGGGGAGGCGGCAAGCATCATAACTGACCTCTACTTGGAAATACATTGTCTTCCCTCATTCCTGTGAATGTCATATCTCCAACAGGTCGGAAAATGGCCTTATCTGGGGTGTGAGATGGGTGCGTTGTGTCAGAATATAGGAATGTAAAAAAAAAAAAAAAACACAACGCTTTAATTAACCATTCCCACCCCATGCCTAATCCAACTGACCAACATGGCTGAAGAACACAACTCACAATTGCAATATTTCCTAGTGGAGGCCCACTAACAAATGTTGCTTTTTGCTGGAGCCTGTGGAAAGTGGACCTGTCAGTAACCAGTCTCCATGAATACATTCCTGACATATCACAATGTACAGCAACACCATCATGTTTCGAAAAAGCTCCACCTTTTATTATATGTCATTTTTGAGCCCCAATCAGTTGCCTAGGCTGAGATGATGTCATCAGTCTGCTGCAGGTAGGAGAAAGCATTTCTTCAGTCTCCTCTCCCCCAGTGATCAGACTGTAACTTTGTAACAAGACACAAGGTAACAGGCTGCAGCAGGGGCTGATCTGTGTTTACCATTTATGGACACGGCCAAGAACTGCACTGACAAAAGGAATTACATGATCTCCAAGATGGCATCTCAGTCCAGAAAATAGAGGGTGACCCTAAGTGATGCCCGAATAAAGATGGCGCCGTCCTTCTGGAGGAAAAAGCAAACGGCACCACCTGCCTGGAGTTTGCATGTTCTCCCTGTGCCTGCGTGGGTTTCCTCTGGGTACTCCGGTTTCCTCCAACACTCCAAAGACATGCTGGTAGGTTAATTGGATCTTGTCTAAATTGGCCCTAGTATGTGTATGTATGAATGTGAGTTAGGGACCTTAGATTGTACACCCCTTGAGGGTTAGGGACTGATGTGAATGTACAATATATATGTAAAGCGTTGCATAAATTGACGGCGCTATAGAAGTAACTGAAATAAATAAATGAATGAATGAAGGCATCATTTGCCTTGAGCAGGGGCGGACTGACCATTTGGTAACTCGGGCACTGCCCGAGGGCCTGGGGTCAGTAGGGGGCCCCATG